AAACTCTAACAAGTGAGAAATATTCAACAGATCTTACTGCTAGGTTCTGTTCTCACAGGGAGGTATCTGGGGTTGTGGACCAAGGATAGACTCATTCCTGTGATTTGGTGAAATAAGATACAATTTTGTTGTAGAAATGATTTCAAACACGTATTTGGATGATTTAAATAGTGTTACCGTAAAAGCAGGCTTTTAGTTACTGAGAACAGAAGGCTCCTCTGGCCTTCTGTTTCCTTGTTGAGCATGAAGCTGGTTTTCACCAGGAAATCTGAATGTGTTGAGAAATTCTAGGGAGTTGGGTATATCCTATGACTTCAGCACTACACATCACAATTTGTTTTTGCACATGTGAATACAGTGCCTTTGAAATAGGATGATGGTATGTGCTGTGAGTGATGGGCTCTGTTGAAACAGGAAAAGCAACCAGAGTGAGGACAGAGGATCCAGAAGGCAAGGTTTCTGACTATTTGAATAAAACACTAATTTCCATATCTAATTTAGTTACTCAGATTCTGTGAGTTGTGCATTTGAAATTCGAGCAAAAGTCTGACATAACATTTAGCATGGAAGAAGCCTCTCAGCCTTTTTTTTTTAAACATTATCTAATGTTCATTCTGTCCTCTCACATATCTCACATTTTTATTATGCTAAATTTAATAATATATTTATCAGCTAGTCTGATAACTAGCTAATTATAAACAGCACTTTTGCGTTGTGCTATGAGTATACTAACGTTAAGGTGGCTATTTTCTACGCAGTAGCTCATTTGTTCACAGTACTCGGGAAATTTCTCACTTCTGTTTGGAGTTGTTCATCCTCACTCAAAAGCTGAAGAAAAGCTTAGTTAAATGATAGTTGTCATAGACTCGTAGCACTTTCTTACTGCATGTGTGTATAACGTGTTGTGGTGGAGGTAATTGTTTTTTTAACAGTGTATGTTAACCTGGATCATGAGCAGTTTTTTTATATATCTATAGAATAAATGGTACAGATTCAACCTTGGTTACTGTGAGAAGAAATTACGTTACGGAGCAGTCCAGTGTTAAATACACAATTAACAATAGCTAAAATTTTCATGGAGCAGTTTAGAGATCTCAAAATAGTACATTAGAAAAAAGCTGCTTAATTTAGCCAGGTTATCACTTTGTCCTGTAGTGTAAGATTCCGGCTAAGTATTCTTCAGCTCTTTGTATCTTGTTCTAATGGCATCTTAATAACGTTCTGATTAGGTTGTGCATCTTAGTGAGCCCCATGTAGACAGAAAGATCCCTATGTTTGAATGACATGTCAAAGTGCCAGGAGAGATTTTGCAAATTAATGTGTCAGCATTGGATGTGTCCAGACTTCCAGCTTTTCATGTTCTCATGTTTGTCACCTACTACTCACCATACTCTTTGGTAATCTCTTCCTTGTTGATAGTGTGTTTGCTTTTGTATATGATCTACATATAATTGTACAACTTAAAAATATCAGAGGTGTTTGCGTAGGGAGAGATGATGTGCTATGTATCATAGGGTGCAACGGATTCTGGCTTCATGTTTTTGTGAAGAAAGTGTCTTTGCATGACGTTTGGCTGTCAGTTTGTCTTCACCAGTCAACAAGCCAGCAAAGACCAGCATGTCAGCTTCTGTGCCACAGAAATGCGTTAAGAATTCAAGTAAAAATTCTGCAATTATGGAAAAAAGAAATGTCATGAGATTACTGTGTCAACTGGAAAAATCCACAGATCCCAAATCATGGTTACCTAGTGTGGTGAAACTACAGAAAATGGCTGCTGTGGACTACTGAGACAGTTCTGTTGAGATGGGTTTGAATTTGTGATGTGCCAAAGTGAGTAAACTGCTGAGAGCACAGTCCTGACAAAAATGACTTTAAAGACCTTGAAATAACAGGGAAAAGGAGAAACTAATGATGACTTACTGAAAAATGAGAGATGACAACCAAATCAGGAAAGAAAATAGATATACGGTTTCCAAGCTTTAAAATGCGGTGCTGAACCTTTGAAAGTTCCTTCAGCTATCAGTACGCACTGATATTTATGCGTGAATCTGTATGTGAAGTGACTGAATTGTGTTTTGTGTCTTTTAGTTGTATATTCCAGTTTGATTTAAATAAGAGCACCATTTTTGTGTGGAATAATATAATGCCCCAGATGACAGTGGTTAGTGGTCTGAGATACTGTAGTAGAAACATTGTGCAAGAGAGGCTGTAAAAATACCAGGCTTGGTGAGCTTGCTTGCTTCTTCTCTACCTTGGCTTGATCAGTTGCTTTCTAATATCTTTGCTAGTTCCTAAAACAAAAAAGAGAACAGTAGATGCTCTCTGTGATTTGATGTAATCTCTGTTGACCCTCGTGCTCCTGACTGCTAAGTCTTAGCGATAATCCTGGCATGACTCCATGTAAGTGCATGCTGATCTTCTAGGTTGTTGTCATGTGTGGTCAGTTGTTTTGCTTACGCTTCATATGTGAGTCTGTAAAAAAAACTATTTTGAAACAGGAGAGATGGACTATAAAGAGGTGGGTACAATTATATTCACCTAATGTGAGATCAGTACATGCTACAGTGATAAAGCATGTTTTTTTTTTTTTTTAAAGAAAAGAGATGATGTGCTCTGATATTTTCCAAGGCATCTAAAGGGAGCATTGATGTCCCTTGGTTTTCTACTGGGATTTTAGCTATCCTATTGCTCTTCTCTCTACAATTAAGCACTGTTATTTCAGAATGAGAACATACATGGCAAAGATGCTTCTGGAATAGAAGACTCTGTACAGGGAAGTAATCATGTATAGGTAATTCATAATAATTCTGCATGTTGACAAGAAGTGTATATTCCACGTTTTAATTGATATTCAAGTGTATGTAATGAATCTTGCAATGACTTGCATTAATTTTTAGATGACAGAAGTATGCATCAAGAAAATGAGAGTCTATTTTGAAAATGCTGCTTGCATCATCTTAGCCAGAAACAAATGAAATGTGCTTATATGGTCCTACGTACCATCTGAGCTTTCAGCAGTAACTGGGGACTTAACATTTTGGCCTTTTGTGTTACTCTGCGTGAAAGAAAAAACAAGCTATGATGGATTTATCCTTAATAAAAAAGAAGTTGTAGATGTCTGTATGTGTCATTCAACCTTAACAACCTCTTAAAAGTATGAAAACAGATTATTTCAGGTCTGGCATGTTAATTTACTGTTGTAAAGCTTGAATAGAAATGGAACTAAAAAAGGTAATCCATGTGTCATATTGAGGGCAAAGGTGTTTCAACCATCACTTTCAAGAGTGTCAGAATTTACTGCTTGTGAGTTCTAGTGTTTGATCTTGATTAACATTTTTACCAAGACAACTGTTGTTTCAAGGATATTTAAGATCAAAATATGTATTTTGTGTGTATGTATGTGTTGTGTGCACATGCACTACAGAGGAGACAGCACAGTGTTAATAGTTACCATTTAGTTTTAAATGGCATCTCTTTCAGGTGCCCACTGACATCTGCCTCTGTGTCAAGCTTCATCTGAGTGCTTGATTGTCTCAGGCCGGAAGCTATAAGAGATTTCTGTCAGTGTGAATTCCTGTGCTACCTTTCTTTTCACCCTGCTGTGTTTTTAGAAAGGCGGTCTGTTTTCGTAACAGCAAAAGATGTGGAAAATATGCTGGAGTTTACTTAAAGGAATTCTAAAGGAAATATTTTTGTCTTGATATGTACTGCAGTTGTAAAAAGAATCATTTTGATGACATCCATCTGTTTCAAATTAAAATAAGTTGGAATCAGTGGTTGTGAAGTGAGTTAGTATGGTGCAGTAATCTGGGCAACAGAAATAAATGCTTTGTAATGGATCAGGTGAGTGGAAAAAAAATGCTTTGTTGATCTGAATTAATAAGCTGGAAGTGAGAAGCTTCCAGGTTGTTCCAGGTGAAATTGTGGTTTTCATCAGGTGCTTATGGCAGAGAGGTGCAATTAGATGAGGAACAGTTTTAATGCCTGGCTCAGTGGTGTGCGAACCCTCTGTGCCTTTGTATCCTGACCTCACTGTGCAGCCTTGAGTGGTTACCTATATGCCTTCTGAAACACACTCCTACTCTATTTGCTTACTTGATGTATGGAGATTGCTTATTTTATGTACAATGATGATTACTCTCTGTACGTGTGTTCCCAAATGCTAATTCTGTTTAAATATTACCTCTATTGCATGACTTTTTGTTCTCCGTGGATTGTTGGTTGCATTAGTGGCTAATTTATCTGTGTGTAGGTTCCCACATAGGTGAATAGCAAAGTGCATGTTAGTTCAAATAGCCAATGTAATTTCATGGCATAATTGTTGCTGAATATGAGAAGGCTGAAACGTTTTGTGATCCCTTACTTTAATGATACATCACACAACCTAGCTCAAGAACAAATTGCAATGCTGATCAGTTTTGTGGGTCTTCCCCTCCTATTCCCCATCTTGCCCCAGTTTGTGTTACACTAGATAAAATCTATCTGTAGGACCTTTGTTTTGCTCTTAGGTATTTTTTTTTCCATTATATACCTCGTGTATAGATAGTATTTGTGCATGAACATGCATTGTACTCGTGAAGCTTTGTACACCAAAAACAAATCCCAAGCTGATGTGTGTTTTTTTAAGCATCTTAACCAATAACAACTGATGAATAATTTTCCTGCATTCTGAACACATACATAGAAACCAGAAAAAAATGACTAGGAAACCTATTGCTTTTTATTTTTCCTTGTTGTTAATACGAGTTACTGTGATTTTTGTCTTTTCATTGCTTCTTGCTAAGTTCTAAACTTCAGCAATTATTGCACCGTTTTGCTTTACAGGTTTGCTGTTTTGCACAAGTGTAGCCCTGTTTTTTTTGTTAGTGCAGATCCAATGCAAATTCTTCACAATTTTGTTCCCCTGCAGCATAACATGTGGAAACCTTTCACTGTGATGAAATTATGGTCTCTTTTAAGCAGGAGCTAATTTGAGATTTTTTCTGCTTATCTTTTTACAGTCTGACAGCAATGCAAGCTTTCTCCGAGCTGCCAGAGCTGGCAATTTGGACAAAGTAGTGGAATACCTGAAAAGTGGAATAGACATTAACACATGTAATCAGGTAAGATAATTGAAGGGCAAAACTACACGAGGAAAATGTAAGTCATGCCCTCTTCACCAAACTAGAATTTTCAGGCTAGATTACCTCATGTAGATGTTATAATTCGTCTCAAGCTATGTCTTTAAGTTTGTTCTTCAGTGGGAACTTTCTATTTAAAGCTGTTAATGCCTGTATATTGCATTTAAATAAATCTTTGTACAAGCCTTTTGGAGCTCTTCTTTCTGATAGTATCTGCAGGTTTGAATATGTACATTACTGGTATACGTAAAATCAAAATTTAGGGCATTTTCTGGTATTCTAAGGCTAATGGACCTACTGTTGTGAAGTTCCAGTTCCAGCTGAAACAGTGAGCAGTAAATATAGCTGTATTCCTGAAAATATTCAATTTATGGAAAAAACAAACAAAAAAGTCCTAGTTGCAAAAGTTACTAGGTAGTATTCCTAGCAAGAGGGAGGTGATTGTCCCCCTCTACTTGGCTCTTGTAAGGCCCCATCTGGAGTACTGCATCAAGGCCTGGAGCCTCCAGTACAAGAAAGATGCAGAGCTCTTGGAATGAGTCCAGGGTAGGACCACTATGATGATCAGGGGGCTGGAGCACCTCTCCTATGAAGAAAGGTTGAGGGAACTGGGCTTGTTTAGCTTGGAGAAGAGAAGGCTGCAGGGGGACCACATTGTGGCCTTCCAATACTTGAAGGGAGCTTATAAACAGGAGGGGCTGTTTATGAGAGTGAATGTGATAGGATAAGGGGGAATGGTTTTAAACTGAGACAGGGGAGGTTTAGGTTAGATATTAGGAGGAAGCTTTTCACTCAGATGATGATGAGAAACTGGAACAGGTTGCCCAAGGAAGTTGTGGATGCCCCATCCCTGGAGGCATTCAAGGCCAGGCTGGATGTGGCTCTGGGCAGCCTGGTCTGGTGGTGGGTGACCCTGCATATAGCAGGGGGTTGAAACTTGATGATCATTGTGGTCCTTTTCAACCCAGGCCATTCTATGATTCTACTATGTTTCTTTAATTTGGATACAGGGAAGTACTATGATAAAAGAATCCTTGATATCAAGTTGAAGGTGTTCAGTATGGTTTCCTGGTTTCTTGCCTGGTTTCTTGGTAGAGAGCAAAATCCTCCTTGCTTCTGTTCCTCTTAGTTGTATATTCCTGTGACAAAAAGAGATTGTACTTTGTCTGAGCAAGTGATTTGGACAACCAAGGCCCAGCTACCTTCCAGTTTTCTTTCGCATATTAATAATTTCTTGTCCTTTTTTTTTTTTTTAAGTGTGACAAACTCTGCTAACGCTTAATTTTTTGTGCTTTTAGTTATTGCGTTTTATTGAGAGTATCCATTTTATTTGTGATGAGGCATGGATCCCCATGTAATGGGAATTTCTCCATTTTAATGAAAGATATTCCATTCATTTCAGGATGCGCACTCATTCAGAAGATGGTAATAGCAATAACTTAAGAAAGAAATAACTTAGGTCACTCTGAAAGTAATGCTTCCTATTTACTTCCATGAGAAGTGCAGCAAATACAGAGAGCATTGTGACACTGACAGAGCAAATATTCAGCTATTCCTATTTTTCAACATAGTCACGGCCATTAGCTATGTATTTTTTTTTTGCCAGCAGTTAATAACAGCCTGCACGTTGTGCTTGTAAAAATCTACGTGGCCATCCAGAATATGGCTTGTCTTTCACATCAATGTTGCCACTGCTATAATGTACCACACACCACCTAACTGTGCTCAAATCTGCTGTTTAGTCTCTGTGGCTATTCAGTAAGTGTTGCTGAATGCCAATGGATGCTTTTTTTCCACATCGAGGAATTCAGTGACACACCTTTTCTTCATACACACTTCCATGTCAGACACCATTTTGTCAGACTGCCCCTCTGCTGCCATCTGTCACACAGCAACAACATGGAATAGGATATTGATGGGAAGGTTCAGCTTCTGCTGCCATACCACCACCGTCTGCTTCTGATGTCATGGGTCAACATAATAAAATAGAAGGTATTACTGTCAGAGCAGCTCTCATGCAAGTCTAAATTTGCAAAAGAGTTAGAATTTTGTGTATTCTGAAAGAAATTATCTTGGCCCTAATTGTAATATGTTAATACACGTTTTTCAAGAATATAAAAACAGTTGGTGTTTTCAGTTTCATACTTAGTTTTTTTGGACTTATTATTGCTTGGATTGCTCGTTAATTTAATGTGAATGCTGGAGGAATGGGCTACAAATTGAATAATTTGTACCAGATAAAGTAGTTCTTACTAAAATAAATGAGTAAATTTGCATGGTATCTTTGAATTTTGTTAATGTATTTTTATTGCGATTATTTAGTTAATATTTTGGTAAACAAAACTAAAATTCATTTTATTTACATATGCACCAAATTTTAGAGTCACTTCTTCAATCCTTTTTCTGTTGTGTGGCAATGAGTTCCAAGGACCTCTAAATAATCTAAAGACAGAAGAAGGATGGAAAGTAGGTGCTTTTCCATTGTTGTTCATCTCTAATGAGGACTTCCTTGGTCTGCTGGTTGCTTAATGCTCAAATTCTGCCTAAGTCTTCCTAAAATTTTAGAAGGAGTTTTTTACAACTGTATGGTTAGTGCATGACCTTAGATATTTTCAGTGGGTTCTAAAACACTTCTTCATTTTCAATTTAAGGGAAACAAAAGGAGGTTTAGTACTCTACAGTGCCAGACTTGTCCCTTAAGAGCAATTGCTAGAACTGTAGAGGTAATTGTTTCACCTCAAGCAAGATTAGATCCAATTCAGAATGTTCACTCCTGTGGCAGAGACAGCACTATACAGCCTTACCGTTATGGAAATATTGTATGCTACGTTATCACACTGGAAGCAGTTTGGTCAGTCAACTGATTTTCCTTGGTCTTTAAGCACACCACCCCATGTGGAGCCTGATCCCCAGTGACCCGAGGTGCGGAAGTCCATGGCTTCCCCTGCTATTTTTGTGATTTCTCAGCCTGCAAAGAAACATCCAGTGGGAGGTATTTTTAGCTGACTAGCTAGCATGTGCTCAAGAAGATTAACATCTTGAAGCTTGGTTGTGGAATCTCTAGTCAAATGATAATTAGCATTGCAAATCTGATTATCCCCAGGTTGTTAAAGAAACTATGATTTTATTCTATCTTTTTTTTTTTTTTTTTCAAAAACAGTTTTGGAAAACTGTAAACTGAGATGTTTTTATCACTGGTCAAATTTCTCTATAAAATATATTGTTATATGGATGGCTATAAAAATATACTTCAATTTTCTGCTTGAACTACTACCTCCTGTCTTAGAGGAATTACTACTTTTGTAAAAACACAGAGTTAAAATTTCAACATCAATATGACTGTGATAGAATATTTTGGTTTGGCTCTTTTGTAAATGAGTTGCATAAATCCAATTATTTCTGCTTCATAGCCCAGGGCCCTGAGTTTGTGATGCTTAAGTGATTGGTACTGTCCAATTTAATAGGACTGCAACTTTTACTTAAAAGAAGCATGCAGTTAAGTGTCTTGACATTGTAGCAGAGTCAGGGGTGTTTCTTTGAAGAGGGGTTTGAAAGCTCAAGCCTTATGGTGACTATCTCCTAGCTCTTAGTCAGATTTGATCAGAATGACCACAAACTAGACAGTATGTAGAAACTTTGGAAGTAAAAATGCTTTTAAAGTTTGTCTTTAAATACATAAAATCAGTAAATCGCTCAGTAGAAATTGTTAGCTCTATTTGTAATTCGTGCCTCATGAGACAGATGAAATTTCAGTGCCCCAGGTGAACAGAAACTTCAGTGAATGTTTACTTTCATAGCTTACAGCATCAGGTTCAGCCCAGTGGAAGAGCTGTAAGGAAGAAGCCTTTGCCTGGTAAAAAGAAACAGGTATTCAGGGAAAGATTGTTAGCAGAGGATAAGATTGATCGTGTTCCTGACTGTTGTTAGAATATGCCCATAGTTCTCTGGTACTACACAAGTACACTTGATCCCAAAGACTTTACCTCAGACTTGAGCCACCTGGCACACAGTTTACTTGTGGCATCACTATAAAGCAAGCAAACAAGAAACATAACTCTTCTTCAGTAGCTCTGACACAGAGTTGGTTATTTCAGGAACTTTTGCCCAGAAAAAAATAAGACGTGCACACGAGCCTTGTCTTTGGGCCCGGTGCTCCACATGGGACCAGGAGAAGGCTGTGGGTCCGTGGTGCAGTGTTGGGGCTGCTCTAAAGAGACCTCGTGTTGACAGCAGCATGTCAGCTGTGCTGACAGGAATTTGGGGTGTTAGGTTTCTAAGGTTTCTTGATATTCACAGATTTTTCAAATCCTTAATTCTCTAATGAATTAGCTACAGGTTCAATGTTAAATCCAATTTCATTTAATTTAAAAGTGCAGCCAAGTGCTAGTCTGAAGAAGACTGTTTTCCTGAACTGCAGCTTTATACTATCCAAATGAAATCTGTACCACCAAAAAAACCTCAGTAAAATTCATGGCTCCTTACTGATATGTACCGACATTCGAACTAGAAATAGTATGCTTAAAAAAAAAAAAAAAAAAGAATTATTGCTGCTGGAGAATGTCAGATAATGCTGGCCATGATGCAAAATGTCAGAACTAATTAAAAAAGAAAGCCCACAGCTGTGGCCACTGCTTATTTTCAGAAAAGAATAGATGGAAGAATAAGAAATAATCTAAAATATTTCAAGACATTATCTTCCCTGCTGAAGAATAGCTGCCAGTGATTAGGCAGTGTATGTCAAAGGGAAGGCTGAATATGGAGAAAGATTCCATTGCTGTCAGTATCAGGGAATTTAATGATGAACAGGAGAAGAACTGGGGCTTTACATGTGCTATTTATTGAAAACATAAAGTGAGAATCTTGTCCTGCTCTCTGTAAGAAAGTTTCTATTAAAATTCAACTGTCCAGAAAGTACCTGCTGTGTTACAGGGGACAGAATCTGGCAAAGTTCGAGTTACCCAGATAGGAGAGATTAAATCCAG